CGATTGTCATTTCTTAGAAATAGTGACGCAACCAGAATTTTTCAGTATGTATAATCTCGACTTTTGAGTATGGGATCCAGATGAAACTTATGGAAGTTGATGTTGGATCTAAATGATGGAATATTATCAAAAAAAATTTTCACTTGGAGTTTGCGAAAAAAAATTTTTTGATAATATTCCATCATTTGGATTCAACATCAACTTCCATAAGTTTTATCTGGATCCCATACTCAAAAGTCGAGATTATACATACTGAAAAATTCTGGTTGCGTCACTGTTTAGAAAGTTGATTTCTATTTAGACAAACAATTCTTTATTTTCTATCCATATTGGAAATCATTGTTGCGTTTATTTTTACATTATTAACATTTCCACCAATTGGTAAATTAACATTTAATACATGTCAAGTGAAATTATTCAGTGATTTTTATCCAATATTTCATAATCCAATTGTAAATTATAGAAAAAAATTACGATGTTCATATGAAGTTGTTTATCCATTGTATGTACAAAAAAGATAATTTTTGTTATTCTACCAAGAACATTTTTTTTGTTTTTTTTTACTTCATTTAGACAAAGTGCAATTTTTATTTTATATACATATGCAAGTTTAATTATGTTGTTCATAAGACCATTTTTTATTTTCATAATTCATCAAAAATTTATTTCAGCATCAATTTATAGTGCACTTCATTTTTATCCATGTTTACTTGTGTTACATGCTTTATGTGGTGGCCTTATTTGTAAGAAATAAAAAATAAAAATTTTTTTTTTTTTTTTTGTAGATTTGATCTTTTTTTGTTTGTAGATTTTTCTTTTCCAATTTTAACAATTACTAGTTCTATACTTCTAAATGCTATTCATTTTACATTCATAGCTAATGGTGAAAGTGAATGGATTCCATTTTTACGAAAACTTTGTGGAAATATTCAAAATTGGATTATTTATTTTATACATATTATACTTCTTCTATGTGGTGTAATTAGTTTAACACAAGTTGAAAATGAATATCATTTTATGTTATTACCTATTGTTTTTCTACCAGGTTTATTGTATATTTTATTGTATAAATTTACAGGAACAAATACAATAAGACCGATAGGAAATTAATATTTGAAAATAAAATAGGATATATTATTTAATGTGTATTCTGTTTTGTTTCTTTTTTTGCTTTGTTGTTTATGTTATATACATTTTTTTTTAGATGGTTACTGATCTTATTAAAATTCCTTGTGTAAGGAATTTCGTTTTTCGTGACCATCTACAATCGTATCCTGAATCAATAGCTAATATTACTTTGCATAATGTTATTATTACAAATAAACAACCCGATGGAAATTATAAAGAACTATGGGTAAGATAATTATTTTGAGGAACGAAAAAGAAAACAAAGCTATTATATCAAAAATTATTGTATAGATATTTTATACTAATATGGATGCAATTCAACCAAAATTTCCAATGAAAAATGAATTTCGCTCGCAATTAACACCTTCACCATCATTATCTTCCATTTATACAATTATTCTTCGTCTTAAAACATTAGAAACATGTTATTTTGACATTCCAGTTTTGGACGATGCAATCAAATTAGCTGAATCATTAGATGCACTTATAGCAAATACAGGTATATCAGATTGATAAATTATGAGATTTATTTATTATAAAATCATTTGATTTGATAATAGAGAAAATACTTAAGGCATATCAAAAGTAGTAGCAATAGTACTATAATACTTTATAAAAGATAATATTAGAATTTTGATCCAGAGAAAGATGAGAAAAACGTTTGCTTCTACATTTAAGTCTGAAGTATACTATAAGTTTTTTTTCAATGGCCAGGCTTCACTTCTCAGAACAGTTGAAAGATACCTTGTATACTTTCGTGAAGGATCAGAAGAGGTTGAAAATAAAGAACGATTTACCAGACTTGCGATTGAGAGCTGTTTCGATATATAACGAACAATAATCTTTTTCAGTTCACAATGACTTAGATCAGAATGTGTTCGTAATTTGTCAATGATCACATAAGGATTATCATTAATAAAGCAATGAGTCTGTTTGATTATAGATCTGTCGGATTCTGTGATATTTTCACAAAGTTATTCATATTATTTTTCAACTGTTCTGAGAGATATTACAGTAGAGATTACAAATCGAAGAATTGTGAACTTTTATAGGATTATATCTCACTACTTGAACTATCATTATATATGTCTTGAGAAACTTTTCTCGAGCTTTCTACGCGTTTTAGTATGCCCTAACTATTAGATGTTTCTTTGTTTTTTTGTAGATGGATCAATTTGTGATGTAACATTTTTATTTCCATTTTGTTTTCCACGTGATTTTGAAGTTATTCAAGATGGTTGGACAGCATTTTCTGTCGAATCTGAATTTAGTCGTTTACAAGCCATTAGTGATGAATGGCGTATTAGTGATATTAATAAAAATTTTGCTGTATTTATCCTTTTTTTTTTTCTAAAATTTTTATACTTCTATAAAAAAAGAAATTTATCATTTAGATCTGTGAAACTTATTCCGAACGATTAGTTGTACCAAAATCAATAACCGATGATTTTCTTAAACGTTCAGCAAATTTTCGTAGTCATGGTCGTTTTCCACTTTTATGTTATTTGCATAAATCATCAAAATCATGTATTATTCGATGTGCACAACCACTTATTAGTTCAAGTGTACGACGTTGTAAAGAAGATGAAGCACTTGTTAATTCAATGCTTACTCAACGTCATAAAAAAGGATGGATACTTGATACACGACATCCAAATATAGTAAAACTTGCACAGAGTAGAGGTAAAAAGATAATTATTTTTTTTTTTTTTTTTGATTCTTATTAATTTAATTTCAAAAGGTGGTGGATGTGAACCAGAACAACATTATGCACTTTGGAAACGTCTTCATCGACATTTAGATAAATCTAATGTTTTACAAGAATCATTTATGAAATTAATGGATGGTATAAAAAATAATATTTTATTCTAAAATATTATTTTATTTGATATTTAGCATGTATTGATCAATCTGATAAAGATCGTTGGTTATCAAAATTAGATAATAGTAATTGGTTACTTCACGTTAAAGAAGCATTAACAGTAGCATGTATTATTGCTCAAACAATTGATTGTGAAGGTAAAAATTAACAAAAAAAAAAAAAAAACTATTTAGTAATAAATACAATTCGTATTTATTTAGAAACATCAGTTCTTGTTCATGGTAGTGATGGATGGGATACAACATTATTAGTAACAAGTCTCGCTCAAGTATTACTTGATCCTGATTGTCGTACAATAACAGGGTATAAAGAAAAGTGTTGGATAGAAATAGAAAACTAAGTTGTTTTTTTTTTATTTCTTACTTTTATTATAGTTTTGAAGCATTAATTGAACGTGAATGGATTCAAGCTGGACATCCATTTCGTTTACGTTGTACACGATCAGCATTTGGTAAAAGTATTCATGGACAAGAATCACCTTTATTTACACTTTTTCTTGATTGTACTTGGCAAGTAAGAGAAATTTTATTAGAATTTTCTTGTTTGGTATTGATTAAATGTATTCGACATTTTTTTTTGTTTTTGTTCAAGCTTTTACAACAATTTGCTTGTTCATTTGAATTTAATGATACATTATTAATAGAATTATTTCAACATGCTTATTCATCAAAATTTGGTAAATAAAAATTTTTATAATATCAAAAATTTTTAATCATATTGAATTTGATAGGAACATTTATATTTAATAATGAAAAAGAAAAAATAAAATATAATGGTATTAAAAAAACAGTTTCACTTTGGTCTTATTTTAATCGACCAGAAATACTTCGTACATTTTTAAATCCATTCTATGAACCAAATATAAATGTTTTATGGCCAAGTGTAGCTGCACAAAGTATTGTAAGTTGTTCGAGATATATAAATATCTTTTTTTTCTTAAGAATAACAATAAAATCTACTGATAGGTTCTCTGGCGTAGTTTATATCTACGATTTTATGAAAATCAAACGCCTCAACATGAAGCCTGGGATGAATATTTGATCATTAAAGAAAAAGAAATACAACTTCGTTCGTATGTCAATAAATTAAGACAGTAAATATATATAGAAAAATTTTTGCATAAAGTAATCTATAATTGTTTTATTTTTCTAGAGAATTACTTGAACTTGAACGAAAGTGTACAGAAAAAAATAACAATATGATTAAGATAGAAAAAGATTCAGTCACAACAACTTAAACTAATTTTGAGAATGTCTTCCTTCTTTTGTGTTTCTTTTCTTGATTTTATTATTATGATTATTATTTTTCTCCCCTCGATATTTATTATTATTATTATTATTATTATTGATCAATCAATCATAGTCGACCTTGTTCTAGTGATTTTTTTTCTGTTTTTTTTCTTTTTTGTATATTTGTGTGTTTCATTATTATCGAGAACAAATAAATCTATATACATATATCATGTAAAATGAAATCTGTCTATCTTTATGAAAGAATAATCAAATGTTCTTCTTGACTTTATATTCTATGTTGAGTCATAAAATATATACATATGGTTGAATGTTTTTACAAGTAGAAAAGAAATAAAAGAGCATGAACTTGTCCCGCTGTAGGGCGTCCTTCACTAATTTGTGTCCAGCCAGTACACTTGTTCATCGTTTTTTTTCTTCTTTTGTTTTGTAATATAAGAGGATGCAAGTAATTGTACAACTTACTACAGAATACCATTTCCTTTCGACTCATGTGATGATTTGTGGTACTTTATATGTACTTTTTATGTTGAGGATAGAAATAAAAAAAAAAAAAAAAAGAAAAATTTCTACCTTTAAGGTTATAATCGAAAAAGAGGGAGGAGAAAGAAGAGGTCTTTTTTTTTAATACTCATATTTCTTCTTCTATCGGCCTTCATTGTATGAACAGTGTGTGTGTGTATACTCACAGATTATTTAAGAACATTTAGTTTGATTAACGTTGCTATCTAACAATTGAGATGCCACGTGAACACGTCGAATGGTTTATGAAACAATCAGTACATGATAGTGATAAAATACATGCTCAACAAAGTTGTACTTATTATTCAATTGTAAATGTCAACAAAACAAACAATCCATATTTGAGTTCTTATGAACAAGAGCAAACATGGACATTAACACGAACAATATCAAATAATCATAAACGATATCAATCATCAATAGAAAATATTCATTTAACAATGCCTATTTCATCATTAAAAACAAAACATCCTGATTATGAAAATATTAATATAAGAAAAGATCGATCCACTTCACTTTTACCGTCAAATAGATATCCATCATTATCATCATCATCATCACGTCATTCTTCTGCTACTACAATGAATTCAATGATGCATCAAGAACAACAAATTTTACCAATAACCAACAGTAATTCAATTTTAAAACACTCACTATCATTAAGCAAACCTATGCGTACATTTCCTACTAATGGCAACTTTGTTGTACGAATTTAAACAATGACTTATTTTTTTTCTATTGAATTCATCCAAACAAAAACAATTGATTTCTTTTTATCACACAAATGGAGTTTGATTATTGTAGAATTTTATCCTAATACACTGTCTTCTTCCATTCTTTTTCTTGTGCATTAAAACAAAAATAAAAACTATATGTGCCTTACTTATATTCCTTATATAAACTTCTTTGTTTATATTATAAGCATAATTTTACATATTACATGGAAATAGATTTACTTTTCATATTAGAACCGCGTGATCAAACGTTATGAAATTTCAAAAAGTGAAACAATTATGTTTATTACAAAATCTTATCTTTTTTTTGTCGAAAATCAGTTTCGACCAAAATGAAAACAAAAAATAGATTTTTATTACCAACATCGGATTCCCCATCAAATGATGCATTTTCCACTAGAATCTAACAAAAAAAGAAAATTTTCAAAAAAAAAAAAACTAAAAATTGAAATTTCGATTTGAAAAATACACCGTTGTTTTTTCAGAACGCTTAATGATCTAAAAGCATCGTAAAATTCGAATATTTCTAGTAATTGAATGTGTTCGGTCGAACTTGTCGAATTCTATCTGAAGATCTTGTTGCAAAAATTAGCAACATAAGCTAACAAGATATATAATAAGCGAGTTTCATTATAGAATTCATCAAAAATAGAGATGGTTTCTAAAACCTTTTATTTTGATTCGTAGACATCTATCTAATATTTGTACGAAAATCATATGTTGAAAGAATACATTGTATCCGATCTATCCTTGTTTGACGACGTATTTCACTATCATCTTTTACATAAATTTTTGAGCTGCCTTAGGAATAGAAATACTTTCATTTCAAATACAACCGATTGCAAACATTTGGTTAAGTCTATTGTTGATGAAAGAAAAATCTTACATAATTCTATTGTTTTTGAAAATTTTCCCATTGAAAATCAAATTATGTGTTTTCTTTAAATAAATAAATCAGAGATTAAGAAATCTTGACAATAGCGGCCTCTGTATATCTTTCACTGGGTAGATTGGTTTCTTGAAGTGAGTAAAGATCAAAGCAATGTTTCCATTGAATGAATCTCATTTAATGTAGTCTATGATGATATTTGCATGACTCATCAAAGTAATGTCAAACTCAAAAACCACTACTACACTTAGGATGAAACTTATTTTGAAAAGCTGATATTTATCATCATATGATATATATCATTAATATGGATTATTTATAATACTAAATTCTTCTGATCGACTAAACTTAAAGAGTTAGCTTTCGTTAGATCTCATGTCTTTACATTGTTCTCAAGTATAGTCTTGTCACAACATCACTGTAATGTAGCGTCATCCTTCATGTAAAACTCATCTTTTCTAAAAATAAAATATGAGTGTCAATGTATTGTCTTATTTAATATATTTTTATTAAAATTTCTTTTTTTGATATTTCAATAGATCTAGATGTCTCTGTACTCAGTGCATTCGAGATTAATTCGCATTGTTTCATCGTAGTTTATATCGTCAGATCACATACTAGTCGACAACAATTCATTTTGAACGAAGTTCATGTCATCTTCACATTGTTTGGGTAAATCTCGAGATTCTCGACGAGAACGTGTATCAATTCGTCGAGCAACTGTATCTAATCTTGCCAATGGAAGTCGAGGTAAAACTACTTTCAAAATCTTACATCATTTAAAATCAATATTATTTTAGAAATACATAGTTTAATCGATGCTGTCAATGCTCAAGATTATGATCGAGGTAAATATTAAATTATTGAATAATTTAATCTTATTATACTATGTTTTAGTCCTTGATCTACTTCAATCAGATGTTGATCCACGTACTGCTGATAAATATGGTCGTACTCCATTGCATGTTGCTTCTACAAAAATAAATGCAGCAATAGGTAAATTTTAAGAAAACTAAAACATCAATGAATAAAATCTATTTGTTATTTCTTTTAATTAGTAAAAACACTTATTGATCATGGTGCCGATGTTAATGCTGAAGATTCACTTGGTAATACTCCATTACATTTAGCTTGTATTAGTAGTCGATTAGCAATTGTTGGTGTTCTTCTTCGTGCTGGTGCTAATTTATCATCAACAAAAAGTCAAACAACACCATTAACAAATGCATTAAGTCGTTTACAATTAATGATGAATGAAAAACGAACAATATCATCACCAGATTTAAAAGCTGAAATTATTGAAGTATATGAAAATATTTTTTTTAAGTTCTATTTTTGAGTCTTTCTTTTTCTTTTTTTCTTTTAATAGTTAATTCGTTTACTTAAAAATCGTACATTACAAACAAATGAAAATAATTCTATATCAAATCTTTGTAAACAATTAGAAAATTTAAATTCTTCATCATTTGAAGATTCTACTTTAGATCTTTCTCTATTTTCTAATTTAACAATTTCTATATATAAAAATATACAATTCTAGATAATTATGCCAGCTAAAAAGAAACATAATGATGAACAACAATCAACAACAAAAACACTTTTTCTTATTCGTCATGGTCAATCTATTGCTAATCGAGATTATGATGAATCAAGTGCTTATCGTGATGCTGGCTTAACTGAACAAGGTTTTGCTCAAGCAAAAGCTTTACAAAAAGAACTTGAAGAATTACAAATTGATCTTGCTATTGTTAGTCCATTAACACGAGCACTTCAAACATGTCAAAGTGCTCTACCAACATCATATTCAGGACCCATTCTTGTTCTACCAGAAGTTGCTGAAATTTGTTCATCACATTATAGTTGTGGACAAAAACGTAGCGTTATACAACCAAAATTTCCTAATAGATTTGATTGGTCAAATGTTCCAATGGATGATATATGGTGGTGGCCATATGATCAAAAACATTGTAGTGAAACAAATGATTATCAACGAAAACGTATAGAAAAATTTCGTCGTTTTATTCAAGAACGACCTGAAAAACGTATTGCAGTTTTTTCTCATGGTGATTATTTATGGGACTTTTTGGAAGGTAGAAGACCATATCCAGCTAATTGTCAAGTGATACCATATAAAATTTAACAGATGTTTTTTTTTTTTGTTATTAAATATAGTCAATAAATATACAACCTTTTAATTTAATAAAAAATAAAAATTTATAGAGAACATCACAATGCAAGATAGTCTTGTATGCATATTCATATCAATGTTTGAATAAAAAAATTATTGGATTACAAATAACAAAAACAAAATCTGTCCAGAAAAGAGATGTATACTAAAAGTATAAGCTTTTCTTATGATATGTTGTTGCAAGGAAAAAAAAGCATGATTATTTCTATGTTTTATGAGTTTGCATAAAGTCTATACTTCTAACTTAATAAAACAACTGATAAGGAATGTTGTCTAAGTAACAATAGAACGAAAGAGAAAAGTAGGAAGAAATGCTTGAAGAAGATTAATTGTTGATAATATATATATATTGGCTAGATACAATCTTTTATAAAGTATTTCACGTGACGAAATTATAGCGGACATCAATAGTATAGTATAGAATGCCTTCGAATTCATTAGAAGCACGAAGACGTAATCGTCGTCGTCATCGACAACCAAAAGAAAGTTTACGGTCTAAAGAAATTGAAACAATAAAACTTGATGATATACCATCGCCAGTAACTTCAAATAAATTAACAATAATTCGAAGTGAAAGTCTATCGTCCGAAGAAATTGAAATAATGAATATTAATGAAACACTATCGCCAGCAAATAAAAATAATACAACAACTATTGTTATTTCACCATTTGTAGAAGTATGAAAAGATTATAAGAAAAAAAATTTTTTTTTTTAGAAATAATATTTTCAATATTTAAGGATGATGAAACTGAAGAGGAATCACCATTGATAAAAATTATTGAAAAAAAAGAACGAAAAGATTGGTAAATATTATTAATTAATAGATCATTGTTATCTAGAATATTTTATTCATAGGGCTAAAATTGTTGCACCTGTAGAGAAAGATCAAATAGAACGAGTAAATAAAATGATATATATTGTAAGTAAATTGATTTAAGATTTATTTTTGTATATTCATAGAAAAAAGAATCAGTAACAAGAAAATTAACAAAATTTTTTTCCAAAATTCCATCACCAATTGGATTTTTACTTGATTTAATCGAACGTAAGAAATAAAAACAAAAAAAATCAAACGAAATGTTTATAATGATTTTATTTGATTTTTTTTTAATATTATAATCAGATCGTCATGGTTTTACAATACGTTCTTATTTTCAATTTGTTGTTTGGTTATTTTATTTAAATATTTTTACTTTTATTATTTGTTTTACATGTATTGTAATGCCAACATTTATTTATCCAAATTCAAAAGATTTTTCTACATATGCTATGGATCGATATTATCAAACAAATAATATTTCAATGCATAATCAATCATCTGATCAATGTACTTTAAATGATCCACAATGTAAAATTCTTAATGAACCATTTTTAAATCAAATCAATGATTCAAATGAAACATGTTTAAGTGATTCATTTTTGGCTAGTAGTTGTTGTTCATTACATGCAGAAGCATATTTTGTTAATTCATCACGTGAAAGTGAAAGTGATCGGGCAAAATACTTGAGTGATCTTATTGCTGGAACAGTATGTATGAACTTTAATTATTATAAAAATCTCTACTGTAGATTCTACCTAATCTAAATAATATTAACTATAAAAATGATTATAATTTTTTCTTCAACACTTTGATCCTTTGTGAAGTTACACTGGCAAGTTCTTAATTTTAATTCTAGGGATTTTTTGCTCTCAATCGATTATTTATTGGTTATTATCGAAA